GAGTTACCATACTACTAACCGTTGCCTGAGCTTTCGACTGCGGTCGGAACGATATTGATAGGATGTCACCGGTAATAAATTTTCGATTTTGCTAAACCATGCTGTTATTGGAGCTGTTATTGGAAGGTCTCCGCATTTGCACCCAGCTGTCGACTCTGCGGGCCAACATGTGCAGCCTTCAAATATCTCCCATGCTAGTGTTTCTGCGTCACTAAAATGCAACTCAAAAGTGAAATGATGTTATTCTCCCAAGAACTGATTTTCTCCTATTGGTGATGAACTGAGTATTGAGCAGCGGTATACAAGGCTTCCAATATTGGTGAGCGCAATGGTGAAGGGCTTCCACTTAATGGGAACATCGGGTAAAAGCATTTTTATAGCTGAGGTGGGTTCCCCTGTTACGTAATCGACATGTGTTATTTCTATTTGGTGGATTCAGCCCTCCGTTGCAGTGAAAAATTTCATACACTTCATTACTGACGGATTCTAAGTGGATCCGATAGAACAAACATCCCGAATTCAGGAAAAAGCAGTCACGCTCCGAGTCACCACAGGATTCTACACATGCGATATTGCCTAGATATTGCTTATCTTGTGCATGTTCAGCTAACAAGCTGTAGGCATTAATCACCGCACATTTGTCTTTTGTGCACGATCCGCTTCGCGGGCAGCATATACTTTCGATCATCTTATGAACTGCATCTTGAGTGAAGGAGTCTGTTGCCGGCTTGCATTAGAGCAGTAACGAATCCCACCGCATCCTTCTTTCGTGCGATACTGTACCATTCTGTGGCAAGCGTAAACCTGCTTCCCATTCGAAAGGGCTGACCTTGAACACTTCTGAGAAACGGCCCCGACATTTGTTGTATGGTTCTTCTACGCAGATAATAGAATGATGTGTGGAGAGATTAATTTCCTGACATTGATGGGATAAACCTGCGTTTTGGGCCATTGCTAATATTGCAATAAATTGGGCTAAATGCCGTCGAGGAAAGAACGCTGGTCTACTCTTCGGGGATCGCGAACCTTTGATCACTCTCCTGTCTATTGTACAAATCATGCAGCCAGAGGGTCTTTTTGTATAAGAACTATTGGGGCGTAGAGGATAACGTAACATTCTGTTATACAGCAATATAACATAACTGCTGTTGCGAAAATAGCACTTTTTGGTTGGCATTTAAGATTTAGGATGTTTGCTGAACAGAAGGTGCATGATATTACTGGCAGAATGGGCCGGGTGGGCACATAATTTTCATGGTATCATTGTCCGTAAGCTTCCACTGCACTAAGAGTTCACGTAGTACAACTTCTGATATATTCTCGATGTATGATGGTTCTTTGATTTGAACTTTGTACGCATTTGTGAACGTATTTAAGAGCCACACTCTCGCTGGTCCACACTTCATAGATCGCGCGGACAAAGTTCCCGCTACTACCTTTGGTGGTGTTGAAGAGAAAAAAGAATCATGACAATTTGCTGAAACCTGGTAGTCGTAAGCATACTGATGGATGTCCTTCGTTCTAGTGCGCCTGTGTAGTCCATATCATTCATGTAATCGACTAGTCATTGCGAGATTGTCCCGTGCATTTGATTCCTCTTGTTTGTCCGCGGCTTCGCATTGAGGCTGAGATGACACTGATGTCGAACACTCTTCTCTTCCAGTTCGAATGGCCGCTGAGACGGTGCGAGTACAACCACTCGTACACTTCCCCGAGCATTTGTAATTGGCGAATTATACCCGTTTTCCAGGAGTGATTAGGCAACACATAGTCGTTTTTTAAAACTACAGTTTCTTCTTCAGGATATTGTGAATAGCAACGTTATTTCCCGATATGTGTGTCGTGATTTGACAAGATGCTTTTATGAATTTTTTCGGTCTGCAGAACAGCTAGCTCGGCAAGCGGAAGATATTCTGGGCCTCCTACGTATTTTGAGGCTTTGACAATTGGGAGGTGAACATGAATGTTTTCTGAAGAAAGTCTATAGGGCACAATATTAAGTCTCCATAGGGTTCTCCATTTACATAGGTGAGTGGTCGCGTATCCATAAAGAGTATTGGCCTTGAAGAGGTAAAGCTTGAAAAGTTTTATGATTCGTTCATAGAAACCTCTTGCCAAGAGCGAATGTTATTGTAATCCCACTCGCTTTCTTTGTTGCTTAATTCACGCGAAATGTAAGGGTCGTTGTGTGCAGCGCGAAGACGTTTTTTGATAATTTCCCTTAGTTCGAATGTCGGGGCGTCATCACTAGTGAGTGATTGGAGTGTCCCTCTTCTTGCGAAGGAACGGCGGTGATATTGAGGAGGGCCTTTGTAGTCATGTCTGCTACGACATCGGTATGAGCGAGTCCGGTGGTCTTACGAAACATTGTTGCTCCATAATATTTGGCGTACTCCTCTGTTGCCGATGCTTTTGAGAGAGGGGCAAAATAGTCGAGGCCTACATGTTGAAACGGGTACGAGCGAATGACTCCCTCTCTTGGTAAATCTTCTTGCGCTGGGTATTTATGGGGTAGGTTATTGAATTTCTGTCATTGGACGCATATCTATAATATTGCGTGAACCTGCAATCGCAGTTGGTGCAGAACTTTTGTCCAACCAGGGCTATCGTATGGTTGACCCCGGATGACCTCGTTGATGACAGCTCTCATGACTGTATCAGCTAGGAGGATTTTTTGGGTAACAAGAACAGGATTCTTGGTGTCACTGTCTAAGTGTGTTTGGCCAAGTCGTCCATAATAACGGAGGATACCCTGTTCGTCTAGATGGACGTTGATTTGTAATGAATTTTTTACTTGTGGGGTAACATGCACCATTTGGTAATGAGGTAGTACTGCTAATCCTGCCTCTCGAAGCTCAGTCGCAGTTAGGGACCCTATATCGCGAAGGAGATACTGACTTGTTATTGAAGATGGAGTCAGATATCTACATCCTTTCGAACTGATGCGTTTCAAGTGCGTGGAGAAAACAAAGAGCGTACGCCATAATTTGCTTGGCTCGGGTCCACGTCCGCACTTGACTGGAATAAAGTATTTCTATGTCATTATTCGTCTTCGTGTTGATGGTGAGTACCTCATCAAGTTTTATCAGGTCTAAGCTACAAGCGTCCGTATCTCGAGATAAAACTGAAACATTTCTCCCTGACGTGGCCATTTGAATTGAGTGTCGACTAGCACGAGGGATAGGCAGATTTATTTTCTTCAAACTTGGGTAATCAAACCATAACAGAAATTATTCAAAATCATTCATCAAAATAAAAAATGATGAATGATTGGAATGGATTACATCTTAAGTAGAGAGATGAAATACTAAGAAACGAGAAAAATGCACTTTTACGCCAAATCTTTTGAATGCACTGTAATCACCGCATACATCGAAGCTCTTTTATGCCTTCCTATCAATGTTGACGATCTCTCAGAACAACAACACTGCTTTAAAAGCCAAGCAGTAGACAGTGAAATGGAAACATCCACTGTCGTGATCAGGTGAAACTAAGCTTCAGCAAACAATCAGATTAAAAGGAATACTAAACCTGCGGGAAAAACAATCAAGCGGCTTTAGAGAAAAGTGAGGCAAATACTACCCATCCATAAAATTGATCACATCTGTGATACTGGCGGCCAGCAATAGTGCGACGGTTCTCCGTGCCGTTCTTCCAAGTCCGCCAACTGTGAAGAAAGAACTTGCAATCGTCTGTCTCCTTCGACCTTCGCTGGAATCGTGCACAGAGCGCTGTGGTGGGAGAACTCGCAGTATCTGCAACTCGACGATCGTCGATGTCAGCGATCCGTAGAGTGGAGAATGTCGAGGCAGCTTCGACACCAAATTTTTCTCTCTTACTTCAGCCTAATTGAAGATGAGGCAGCAGTCACTGTAGTGGTGCCCTTTCTGAAAGAGCAGTAAATGAAGGTGTCCTTCTCATCCATAATGTTGACAAAGGCCAATGTTCTTCGCAGGAGGGTACAGTTCCTGTACAGGGCTCCTTTGATATCCTCAGTCTGCGACAACAACTATCGTCTTTTCTCCTCAACTTTAGTGTACACCTGATCTTTTTTGTTTTCGTCGCCTCTTCCTTTTCCGGAGTGACTTTCGACTGGCCCTTTTCGAACTACCTTCCACGGGACCTTTTTCTAGACTACCATCCTTGCCGAGCTGATAACCGTCGAAAAAGTCCCACAAGTCGCGTTCCAATGGGGTCCACTTGTCTGTGTCGGGAGATATCCATCTCCGCCACTATCCTTGCTGTCCTTCTTCTAGAGGGACTCCCTAACCGCCTTGACATTTCCTTCTGAGGCACATATCTTTCAATCCTGTGATTCAATCAATTCTGTGACTCTGGCCTACCACCGCCCTTCCCCTTTTGAGTGGCCCGATTGCTCCCCCCCCCCCCCGTTTTCCCGTCTCAATTCCTATATCGCTTGAACAATAGTCCAATAAATAAATGAATAAATAAACTCCTCTGGTGGCACAGTCTGCGGGGTCAAGTTTCGTATCAACCTAACCCAGGCGAACGTACACCTTCAAATCCTCCATTTTCCCAATTTTGTAGACCACTTTAACGCGATTAAAGACATACTGGCAAGTGCTGAGTCGATTCAGGGGAGTATTGAGCCAGTTCAATGTTATCTCAGAGTCGGAAAGTAAGATGACGTTGTCGATTCGTGCAGAAGTTCTGAAGGAGCGGAGAATGTTCAGCAGAATCAACCGTGCTCCTATGGTCATGACCTGCATTTCTAGCTCAGGAAATGTTACTGCCCTTTTATGGTCGACTATCTTCGGCTTTGCCATGAGAAAATGGGACTCGTTTTCGTCGACAAGATAAGTTGAGGCTGCCATTGCTGTTATTCTCGCGTCAGAATATCTGGTCAAAGAGTACACTATCGGCTGCTGAACAATTCGTCTTGGTATCGAACAAGCAAATCCGTCGAACGCATTAACGATTCTATTCCATTCTTCCCAATGAAGCGTACTTAATGATTCGTCCCAGACGTAATGATCCGTTCAGAGCTTCTGCTGGAAAGACTTCGCCTGTACCAACAACAGAACGAACAATCCTAACGAATCGAGTATGGAGGCTATCTGCTGGGTCGCGCCTCTCTTGCAGATGATGTCTCTTTCTTTCAACCTGACATTGAGCATGAGATATGCTTGACAGAATCCCAAGGAATGTCCAGGACCTTGATGACTAGCTTCGAGAAACGTTCCAACCATGTTTCTATTGCTTCCTTGACTTCAACATCGTTGGAGAGAAAAGCTCCCAAGTACATATTTGTTAAATATCCATGAACAATGGGTTGAACATTGAATTAGAATGTCATGAAAAGCATTCATTAGAGGTGAAACTCGTATGCAACGAGAGGTATTAGGTGAACGAAGGGAAACTTATAGTGAGTCAGTGTGCGAAAAGAGGACAAGGCAAAACACGCCTTCTCAACGCTCATAAAGTATTCGATGCATCAAAATCACCGACCGGGACACGCGACAGCCAAAGCCGGCGTCGGCGTCGCTAGTGTGAATGTAGCCGATACCAAATTGGATGGTGTGTCCTCCACTTTGTTGCTTTATTCAACATCGGTTTTTATTAGTTCACCCAAGCGCTGTTCGCTGTGACCCCTCTGGTGCTGAATAGCGGACAGGACGTAATATGGGTTTTAAGGTCCGGGAACTTCTCCCTTGTCACGGCGTCGCACACGCCGCACCCGCCGCGTATCGCAGGATTGCGATGGAAGATTGGAGCGCGCAAATTGTGAGGTAGGGAGTCCTTTAATTATTTGAATTGGCTGACCGCTTCCTTCAATTTCAATGCAATCTTGATCGCCGCTTACATAGGAGGAGTCATATTAATTAATCAAGTCTAATAAACATGAAAACGAAAAANTTCACTGTGACCCCTCTGGTGCTGAATAGCGGACAGGACGTAATATGGGTTTTAGGGTTCGGGAACTTCTCCCTTGTCACGGCGTCGCACACGCCGCACCCGCCGCGTATCGCAGGATTGCGATGGAAGATTGGAGCGCGCAAATTGTGAGGTAGGGAGTCCTTTAATTATTTGAATTGGCTGACCGCTTCCTTCAATTTCAATGCAATCTTGATCGCCGCTTACATAGGAGGAGTCATATTAATTAATCAAGTCTAATAAACATGAAAACGAAAAAGAAACAGAGGAAAAAATGATCAAATCCAATAAAAAAGCAAGGCAATCAACGAAAAATATCGCGTCCTATCGATTATGGGGAGGCGGGGTGAGTACGGTAATTGCAGTGGCATTTGCCGCATGCCGCATGGGAGAATGCCGCGATAGGGGAGAAGTTCCGTTACCCTGGGTTTTAAAACCGATTTGGCCGAGCCAACCGACACCGACAAAGGGGCAGTGTTATGACGGTCATGTTGAGGCTACACCACTTACAATGAAGCCTTATAATGCCGACGACAAGCACGCTTATAGGGGAGACACCAGACGGTAACAGAAGGTGACGAATTCACACGGTGCTGCTTTTATACGTATTCATTTTTCTTATAAGGTAACAGTTTTTTAGGCTATGAATTATGCCACCAGTACTGTAAATGCGATCAATGGAAGGCGATCTTTGCCATATTTAGCTCTGTTGCCAGCTCTTTACGCTGTGCGACGAGTGAGATCTCACCAATATAGAACTTCATTGCCTCTTCCGTCGTCGTTATCTCGTACGACCTCATTTCTTCTGCTCTTTGAGACTATATTACTAGGATCCGCCAATTTTTGCGCCTCCTTCGCAACTGTCCTGCACCTTGAAGGCACAGTTCAGATAAAAATGGTTTCTAACTAGGGGAAGGCTCCGAGTCGAAGTGGCGGTTTGGAGTGAAACCTGCACTGCTAGACGTGTTTTCGGATGCTGACATCATGTCTGCTTCCCAAACTTACTATACTCTACTAATTTACTATGCGATACTCTAAATGGTGTTATTAGGTGATTTAGGTGAGGCTTAACATAAGAGACATTGAGTTACATGAATGCACAAGGTTCTTCAGCGGTAGCTTGGAACCACTGCTGCACTGTCCTGCGCTTTAAAGACACAGTTCACCATTATATACTTCTCCCTTTAGGAATACCCAGTAGCCCCTCAAGGGCAACTGGAGGAACGCTGTTGGGTCCAGAAACAGCTAGGACATAGTGGGATACCCAACTACCGGATCACCCGGATGTCACGCCCATCGGCCGATGATGTGTTAAACGAGTGTGGGGGTGAGGCAGAATGCAAAATTCGCCGAGTAGTGAGGCGATGTTGTTCTCCTTCTCCTTTATTCTCTGTTATTCGTTTTGCTGCTGCGATCCTTTATTTGATTTTCTACCTCAATAGGCTGCGAAAAAGCGCTATTTCTGCTGTTACTGACGTTTTTGTTAACTTGTGAGTGGATGAATTTAACCCATTGTGTACCGCAGTGTTTTTGCGTTAGCTGCCGCATGTGGCTTCATAGTCGGCGCGGCGAAGTGGTTTACAGTGTGCAGCATGCAGCCGCACAGAGTGCTCGTTTGAGCGAATCATAAAGTATGGGCTGTTGAAACTTTATGCAAATTCTATAGTGATTTTGGACGAAAATGCGGGCGCGCAAAGGCAAGGGGGCGTGCTGCACATAGTGCAGCACCATGTGCAGCACGCGGTACGCAATGGGTTAAAGACATTTTCGCTTACTGTGGGACACCACACCGTGACCCACACGTACGCAAGGAGCTCGTTCAAACACCACTTCTTCATTTTTCTGATTCCTTCTCGTCCAGCCCCCTTTTTAACAATATTTTCAAGGCCTTTTCACACGATTCGCGCACTCTCTTCGCCCACAACGCACTACTTTCCACCTTATCTTCCATTTCCCGTAATAATCTGAATGACCCGTGAATTATCGTGAACTGTGGCTTTACCTTCCATCACTTCATTCAAGCTCGATACCGCAGAGTTATCGTGAAGTGCTCCTTAAGGGCAGTATAGGGGGTACTTATGTGCTAGATACGTTAGAAGAGTTTCTCAAGGGTGGATCTAATCCATAAAAGTGTGAGGATTGTTCTCAGAAAACGACTCTGACTGATGACTCCTGTAGCTGCATTGAGAAAGTTCTTTTATTTCGAGTGGTAAAAATTCACTGTGGTAATAACCACATACACTCATGTAGAAACTGAACTCAAACCAAATGTATAAGAAAGCAAGATCTGTCGGTCTGTATTAAAGATCACAATGATCATATAGTGAAATAGGGTTAGGGTTAGGGCCTGTAAAGAATTGGAAAGTTGAGGAAGGGAGTCAGTGGCTGCTTCCATAGTCCCGATTGACCAGTCGCACGACCGGTCGCGCGATCTGCTCTGGACCGTCCTCGGCGGCACCCAAGCGCGGCCTACTCGACCGATTGAGCGACTGGTAGCGCGACCAGTGGCGCGATCAGTCGAGTAATCAATCGAGCGACCGGTCGCATGGTTGGTCGCTCGCCAAATCGTGGACCATGAAAGCAGCCAGTGTCAATAATGCTGGTGATGAAGCTAGACTAAAAGGATGCAAACTAAAGAGGAAACCATACAAGGCTCTCCGTTTAGAGCATTTACCCGACCTTTTCATCATTCAGCAAGCCCCGCGATTTTCACGCCTAGTACCTCGCAACGCGAGTTCCTGTGCTTCGAATATCCCATGTTCGACTTTCAATTGATCTCTGCGTGATGCAAGCAAATTCGTCGTTAATTGGCTCAGCCTCCGGGATTGTTAAAAACGCCTTATTCACAGCTTACGTCCCGGAGGAATCGCCTTCTCGAGAGCCTGTAAGTCAAATATATACTAATGATTCATAGGTTACCTTTTCAGTTACAAAAAGAACATTCTAAGAGGAGCGAAGCAGAAGCGATGCGCTTGAGCCCAAGATTCCTCACGGCCCTTTTTATATGCTGGGATCCAGAGGTCGGGATATGTAGGGAAACGGGAAGGCCACTTTGCATTAGGAGGAAAGAGCATTTGGATGAGTTTAAAAAAGTCTAGAAAGTCCACTCCTTTGGGTGACCACAGGGTGCAGCACTATATGAATGAAGAAGTGACGGTCTCTGTTGTGATACTGTCTCGTAAAGATGATATCTCAGCGCGCAAGACTCTGGAGGCATTGCGGATTGCGGCAAAGAACCCAAAAATTACCAGGAATTACGAATGCGTAGTTAGTACTAGGGAGCTCGCGACATTCGCAGACTTGTGTGGCTTTGATTTACAGTCGATCCTCAGGGGG